AATGCGCGCGCGGATGGATTGGCGGCGCGGCGGCGCGACGACGATGACGTCTATAACGCGTGATTTCAACGCGTCCGAGCGAGTACTGAGGGTTTGATCGTCGTGTAATCATCGTCGCGTAATCTCGCGATGGAGCAGTAGTCTGGGCGGTCTCTCGCGCGCGAGCGCCTCCGCGTCGGTCTCGGCGCTCTCCGCGGCGAAGCCGGCTTTCTCGTACGCGCGTCTGGCGGGTACGTTGTCGCGCTCGACGTGCACGTACGCCGCCCGCGCGTCGGTGTGCGCGGCGAGCCAATCGGCGGTGGCGTTGAGCATGAATTCGGCGATTCCTCGGCCGCGGTTTTCGGGCGAGACGCAGACGTTGAAGACGTACGCTCGCGGCGGGTTGAGCGCGGCGACTGGATCGAACCGCGATTCGGCGTCCGCGTCCGAATCGTCGCCCAGCGACGGGCGCGTGCCGATCAAGAACTCTCCAGGGAGCGACCGTCCGAAGTGCACGTCGAGCGTGCCGAAGGGATGACGTTCGATCCGAGGGATTGGGCGGGGTTGATGCGACGCGCGAGCGCGTCGGGGGTTCGGGACGGCGACGACGGCGACGGCGACGAGGATTCGGACGCGGTCGGACGCCGAGCGCGGGTGTTCGGGAGAGAACCCGCGAGTTTCGAGGAGTGCGGACTTCCGGAGACGATGGTGAAACATTTAGTGGAGAACGTCGGGTTCGCGTCGCCGACGGCGGTGCAAGCGCGGACGATTCCGCGAATGTTGGCGGGACGCGACGTCTTGGTCCGGGCGGAGACTGGATCGGGGAAGACGCTGAGTTACATCGCGCCTCTGTATAGTAAAATAGGTGGGATCACGCCGAGGGTGACGAGGAACGAGGGCACGCGCGGGCTCGTGCTCGTGCCGACGAGAGAGCTCGTGACGCAGGTTGAGGATTTGGCGAGACGCGTGGGACGACCGTTTCACTGGGTCGTGACGAGCTCGATCATGGGCGGGGAGAACAGGACTAAGGAGAAGGCGCGACTGAGGAAAGGGGTGTGCTTATTGATCGCCACTCCGGGTCGGCTCCTTGATCACTTGCGCATGACGGAATCGTTCAACGTCGACAACTTGAGATGGCTCGTCCTCGACGAGGCGGACCGGCTATTAGATTTGGGATTCGAGGAGGATCTGAACGCCATTCTGAACGAGATCGGACGGCGAACGGAGGGTGCGAGCATCTGTACCGCCCTGCTCTCCGCCACGCTCACCCCGGGGACGGCTCGTCTGGCTGAGCGCATGACGGACCCCGTCACCGTCGTCGTCGAGCCCGAGCGCGACGACTTGGAAATCGTCGGCGACGGCGACGGCGACGGCGACGGCGACGACGAGGGTGGCATGGACGTCGAGGGGTTGAAACGAATGGCAAAAATCATGGCGGGTGGCGATCGCGTGCGCATGCCGGAGGGATTGAACCACACCGCGGTGGAGGTTTCGATGAAGGCTCGACTGCCCGCGTTGGCGGGTCTCCTCGCGGGTTGGATGCAAGGATCCATCTCCAAGGCGATCGTCTTCTTCTCATCGTGCGAATCCGTGGAGTTTCACTACAAAACTCTCCGATGGCTCGCCGCCGGGGGCAAGGGTAAGGTGGAGGACGACGACGATTCGGTGCAAGGCCCGTACGAGATTTTCCGTCTGCACGGCTTGCTGAGTCAAGGCGAGCGCTCAAACGTGTTCAAGAACTTTGCCAAGACGAAGACGGGTGTTTTGCTGTGCACCGACGTCGGCGCGCGCGGTTTAGATTTCATCGGCGTCGGCGCCACGGTACAAGTCGACCCACCGAGCGACGCGACGACGTACATTCATCGCGTCGGTCGCACCGCCCGTCTCGGCGCCGCGGGCGAAGCCGTGCTGTTCTTACAGCCCAAGGAGCGCGAGTTCGCGGAGGTTCTCACCGAAAAAGGCGTGTGCTTCAAAAAGGGAAGCGCCGCGGCGATGCTCGACGTCCTGGGCGGCACCGAGGACGCGAGCGATCGCGACACGCGCGCCTTCGCGGACGCCCCGCATCTGCACCCGGCGTCCCAGCGCATGCTCCGTCGCCTCCAGGCGAAAATCGCCTCGGACGCGCGATACGACGCCCTCGCCAAGGACGCGTTCCGCGCCCACGTCCGCGCCTACGCCGCCTTCCCGAGCGCTCTCAAGCACATCTTTCACGTCAAGCGTCTGCACCTCGGCCACTGCGCCTGCGCCTTCGGGCTCCGCGACGCCCCGACGCTCATCGGCGCCTCGGCGACAAAGGCGGCGCTCAAGCGCGCCCGCGACCGCGCCGTCGCCGACGCGCGCGCGTCCAAGTCCAAGGCGCGCGACGTCCGGGTCGCCAAAAAATCAAAGAAACTCGCTCGGGGCGCCATCGATCGTCGACCCATCGGCGTCGACGACGCGGGCGCGACGTGAGCCCTCGCCCGGGGGCGTCGCCGTCGCCGTCCCGGTCGCCGTCCGCGTCGCCGTTCCGCGTTCGCCGTCCGCGTCGGCGCCCATCGCCCAAAGCACGTCCCCGCTCGGCGCATCGCTCGCGGCATCGCGCGCAGTTGACGATCGCGCGACGACGTGTGCGTACGACGACATCCCGACCGAGCGCCACGGGCCCGGACCGCGTCGCCCGCGCGCCGCCGCCGCGCGCTGACTGTACCGCCGCGCGCGCCTCATTCGCGCCCCATTCGCGCGTCCGCACCGCGCGACGCTCGAGATGTCGTGCGCGCGTCGCCCGAGCGCGCCCGCGTGGACGACGACGACGACGACGCGATGTCGCGCGCGCGCGCGCGGGACGTCGCGCGGCGTCGTCGTCAAACGATGCGAGATCGCGATCGATGGCCAATGGGGACAGAATCCACGCGCGTGGACGACGACGACGGCGACAGGCGCGGTCGTGGTCGTGCGTGGGCGTGGGATGGTGCGGTCGATGGCTCGGGCGAGGGCCGGGGCGACGCGCGCGCGCGCGGCGACGGCGTCGGGGTCGGAAGGGAGCGATCGCGAGACGGCGGGAGGCGACGCGTGCGACGTCGACTTTATGAAACGCGTGAACGATGAAGCGAACGCGGTGACGACGCCGTTCGCGCTGCAGGCGGTGGTGGCGAGTTCGTGCGCGCTGGCGGCGGTGATTTTGTACGTGGCGTTGGATTTGGGGTCGACGGCGTTCGTGGGGAACGCGGGGCAAAAAATCGTGGACGCGATGGCGCGGAGCGGGTTCACGGCGGCGTTCGCGTTGATTTTTGTCAGTGAGCTCGGTGATAAGACCTTCTTCATCGCCGCTCTGTTGGCGATGCGCCTGGGGCGGTTGAAGGTGCTCTTGGGGGCGACGAGCGCGTTGGCGGCGATGACGGTGATTTCAGTCGCCATCGGGAGGGCGTTCCAGAGCTTGCCGGCGTCGATGAAAGCGACGCTGCCGGTGGGAGAGTACGCCGCGGTGGCGATGTTGGTGTTCTTCGGGGTGAAGACGCTCAAGGAGGCGTTGGAGACGGATCCCGCCGGGGACACCCCGGAGGCGCACGGTGAGCTCGCGTCCGCGACGGAGGTCGTGTGCAAGTCAAAGAGCGGACGGGGGAGCATCATTCCCGGTTTCGCCGCCATGGTTGAGACTTTTACGCTCATATTTATCGCCGAGTGGGGTGATCGAAGCATGCTGGCCACGATCGCCCTCGGCGCGGCGCAGAACCCGGTGGGCGTCGCGTGCGGCGCCACCCTCGGGCACTTCATCGCCACGCTCATCGCCGTCGTCGGTGGATCTCTGCTGTCGAAGCGCATCAGCGAACGAACGGTCGGCATCATCGGGGGTTTGCTCTTCCTCGCGTTCGCCGTGTTCACGTGGTTCGGCGTATTTTAGTTTTGTTTTCGATCGTTGATAATATCACAACTCGCTAGTTGGAAAGGTTGTCGTCGCGTCCCCGTCTCTCACGCGCTCGACGCGTCTTGAACGTCCTCACGACGGCACGAGTCGACTGAGGAAGAAAATGAGCAACACTCCCGCGATCGCACCGCCGAGATGTGCGACGTGATTGACGTTGCCGGCGCCCACCCCCGACCCCGCCGCCGCGACCATCTTCGCCTCGGTCAAAAATCGATCGACGACAAACTGTCCGAGAATGACAACCTCCAAGATACGTCTCCAGTTGAATTTCAATTTCACCAACACCGACACGGCAAAGAGCCCGAACACGGCGCCACTGGCCCCTAAGCTCACCGTCGCCGCCCCGCCGATGCCGAGCACGCCCCCGACGGATTTCGGCAGGAGCAACCACGACGCCACGTTCGCCCCCACCCCCGTCACGATGTACGACATCCACACCCCGAACGCCCCCTCCTCCTCCTCCACGAGTTTCCCAAAGATGTACAGAAAGAAAATATTCGAGCTCAAATGCGCCCAATTCGCGTGACAAAACGTCGACGTCACGAATTGCCACCACGTCGGCCGCGCGTGATTCAGATACAGCGTCTTCACCGCCCCGATCGCCAACCAATGATCCATCGCGAACAACGCAAAATTTATGAATAACAGCGCGAACACACCGTCGTATCCCACGCGCGATGTCCCGCTCGTTCGTCGCGTCGCCCGCGCGACGCCCCGTCCCAGCTCCCGCGCCGCGTCCCCCGCGTACTTCGCCATCAATCGCTCCGCGTCCGGCAATCCCGGGATCTCCGAACCGCCACTCGAGGCCACGCGCGCGCCGGTCGTCCGCGGTCGCCATCGCGCGCGCGACGCGCACACGTCGCGTCGGTTCGCCGTCGATGACGCGCGCGTGGCGATGCGCATCATTCCTCCGTCACGCCCCCCACGCGCGCGCGTTCGACCGCGCGCGAGCGCGCGTTCGACGCACGCGGACGTCACGCGCGACATCGACGTCGAACGTCCGCGCGCGGTCGAGCGCGGCGCCGATGCGGGCGTCGATCGCGTCGCGGTCGATGTGCGGGCTGGTGTGACAACATATATACCACTCTGTCCTTTTATATACGTACATACGCACACATAGACACCGAGTGTATAGTATACGTACCACATGTCCGACCACGGCACACGGCGCGGCCATCGCGTCGACGCCGACGATCGCGCGCCGGAGCCTCGCGCGCGTCGACCGCGCGCGCGTCGAGCGCGCGCGTCGTTGTCGTCCATCGCGCGCGCGCGAGACCGCTCGTGAACATCGCGGACGCGCGCGCGGTGTGAGACATTCGATCAGGATTCGGCGGCTCCACGATCGGGCCATCGACGACGACGACGCCGGTCGCGTCGCGGGTGATCGACGCGACGCCGCGCGCGTGGGCGCAGACGGTCGTGCGCGTGCGTCGGCGTTGAACGCGCGCGCGTGGAGACGACCGCGATGGAGACGCGGACGTGCGACGGGGGATCGATCTCGACGCCGCGCGGGCGGTCGCTTCGACGCGGACGGCGGGCGAGACGCGGACGGGCGCGGTGCGCGTACGCGCGAGACGCGTCGCCGAGCGCGACGACGGCGAGTGGATCGTCGAAGGAGACTCGAGTGGTAATGTCGCGAGGTAATGAGGAGAACGCGGGGGTGTTCGCGCGATACGGGAATAAACGGTTGCACTACTCGGAGGCGGGCCTGGGGCGCGGCGGGGCGCGGGCGCGGCGGGGGATCGAGCGCGCGCGGGCGTACGCGAGCGACCCGGCGGCGTTTTATCTGTCGACTGATTCCATGGATGATGAGGAGTATCGAGTCGGGGTGTTGTTGTTAAACTTGGGGGGGCCGGAGACGTTGGACGACGTGCAGCCGTTTTTGTACAACTTGTTCGCCGACCCGGACATCATTCGCTTGCCGGGGCCGGTGCAGTTTTTACAAGGGTTTTTGGCGAACGTGTTGAGCGCGCAGCGCGCACCGAAGAGTCGAGAGGCGTACGAGTCCATCGGCGGTGGGTCGCCGCTGCGGGCGATCACGGACGCCCAGGCGGAGGCTCTGCGGGAGGCGATCGAACGACGAGGGATCGAAGCCAATACGTACGTCGGGATGCGATACTGGAAGCCCTTCACCGAGGACGCGATCGATGCCATCAAGCGCGATAGAGTGAATCGATTGGTGGTCCTACCGCTGTACCCGCAGTTCTCGATCTCAACCTCAGGATCGAGCCTGCGTTTGCTCGAGCAGTGCTTTGCCGAGGACGAAGCTTTGGCAAAGGTGCGCCACACGGTGATCCCATCCTGGTATCAGCGCCCCGGGTACGTCAGAGCGATGAGTCAGATGATCGCACAGACGCTCAAGACGAAGTTTGATGACGAAAAGGAGCCGATCATCTTCTTCTCTGCGCACGGCGTGCCGGTGTCGTACGTCGAAAAGGCGGGGGATCCCTACAAGGATGAGATGGAGGCGTGCGTCAGACTCATCATGGAGGATCTGCGCTCTTTGGGCGTCGAGAACGAGCACGTGTTGGCGTATCAATCGCGCGTCGGGCCGGTGGAGTGGTTAAAGCCATACACCGACGACACGATTCGCGAGCTGGGGAAGAAGGGAACCAAGGCTTTGTGCGCCGTGCCCATCTCCTTCGTCAGCGAGCACATCGAGACCCTGGAGGAAATCGACATGGAGTACCGCGAGCTCGCCGAGGAGAGTGGGATAAAAAAGTGGGGACGCGTCCCCGCTCTAGACACCGATCCGCTCTTCATCGACGATCTCGCCGAGGCGGTGATCGAGGCGCTTCCGTACACCACGCGCATGTCTCGCCGGAAGCTCGGCAAGGACAACGTCAACGTTCCGCCCGCGGAGATCGGCGAGCTCTTGGCCAACTACGACCGCGCCAAGCTCGCGATTCCCGTCACCGAGAGTTCTATCCGTCGCCAAGGTCGCTCGGACGAGTTCAACGGGTCCAGCAATGACTTGGTAAACGTCTCCGTCGTCACCTTTTGCATCCTCCTTTTCCTCCAGTACGCCGCCGGCGCCAACGGCATCTTCGGCTCCTTCGGCGTTTTTAGTAATTGGTAATTTAATACCGGTAGTTTCATCCATGTTTCATCTTCACGATTCGCACCCCTCCGTCGCCCGCGCGCATCGCTCGCCTCCATCGTCGCCGCGGCGCCGAGCCGTCCCGTTCGGGGGACTGAAACGAACACGCACGCGCTCGGTCGCTCGCGCCCACCATTCTTCACTTCACGACTCGCACAGCGCGCGATGGCGCTTCGAACGCTCGCCCGCGCCGTGGCGCATCTTCGTTCTCGACGTCCGAGAGTCCTCAGAAGCGTCGCGACGCCCGGCATCGTCGCTCGAGCGTCGAGCGTTCGCTCGAGTGACTTTCACACCGTGCGCTCTTCGAGCGGGACATCCTCGATCGCGTCGTCGCTCGCGCGTCGCGCGCGCGTCGGACGGCGGGAACGTGGTGATGAAAAAACTCTCTGTCGGGGATTCGCGAGTGCGCGCGATGGGGAGGACGACGATGGGTTTGCGGACGACGCGGAGGACGTCGCGGAGAGCTTTTACGTCGGCTCGGTGGAGTGCGTCGCCGACGTCATGATCATCGATGAGGATGGGAACGAACCGCGAGAGGTGATGGAAAACGAACTGGATTTAAATGAATTGCGAGTTCAGGTGGAAGAGGACGCGCGGGCGGTGATGACGAAATTATTGACCTCGCGCGGGGACTCGGCGGGCGGAAAGGCGGCGCGCGGCGCGCTCCCGCGAAGCGTCTCACACATGGAACTCAGCGTCGCGCTGTGCTCGGACGAGTACATTCGGTCGTTGAACGCTGGGTACAGGCAAAAGGATAGCGCGACGGACGTCCTGAGTTTTCCCGCGGAGAGTTTCGGACCCATGGCGGTGCTGGGTGACGTCGTGGTGAGTGTGGACACGGCGGCGACGCAAGCGAGGGAGGTCGGCCACTCGTTGCGGGACGAGTGTCGAGTCTTGCTCGTGCACGGATTGTTGCACTTACTCGGGCTCGATCACGAGCTCGGCGAGGACGAGGCGGTGGCCATGGCGGAGGCGGAGCGGGAGATGTTGAGCGAGTTGGGATGGAAGGTCACGGGACTGACGACGCGCGGGAGTGAGGTCGATGAGACGTCGACCTCGTCGTCGCGATCGTCGTCGACGCAGAGGAGCGTTCTAGTGACAGATTTGGACGGGACGCTGCTGAACGAGGAGAGCGTGATATCACCGGGCGTTGCAGATGCCTTGCGCAGGGCCATAGCGGCGGGCGTAGAGGTGATCATTGCCACGGGTAAGGCGAGACCGGCGGCGATTCGCGCCGCATCAACGCAAGGTCTGGACGGAATCATCGTCGGCAAGAATACCCCGGGGGTGTTCCTTCAGGGGCTTGAAGTTTACGGTCGAGGCGGCGAGCTCGTGTACGAGGCGAAGATGCCCGAAGACGTCGTGCGGGACGCGTTCATGATGATGGACGACGTTGTCCACGACGGGTTGGCGCTCACGGCATTTTGCGGAGACACTTGCGCGACACTCGAGGACAACGTGCTGTTAGACGTGCTTCATCACACGTTTCACGAGCCCAAGAGCGATGTCGTCGCCTCCGTCGACGACATACTCTCCGCGCGCTCCGTCCGCAAGCTCTTGTTGATGGGCCCGAGCAAGGAGAGCATCAACGCCGTCCGTCCAATCTGGGAGGCCGCCTTCAAGGGACGCGCTGAGATCACGCAGGCGGTCGCAGACATGCTCGAAATTATTCCGATGGGGAACAACAAGGCGAAAGGGGTGATGAAGGTTTTGAAGTCCATGAACATCAATCCGGCGACGGATGTCGTCGCGTGCGGCGACGGAGAGAATGACGCCGAGATGCTCAAGATAATCGGATGCGGCGTCGCGATGGCGAACGGGTCGGAAAAGACGAAAAAAGATGCCGCGCACGTTCTCGAGGAGTCCAATGAACAGGACGGTGTCGCCGTCGCTATCGATAGGTTCGTTTTGTAAGAATATGTTAATGCGCCTTTCTGCAATTTGTTCCAACGATGTGGAGAAACAAACTCGTCTGTGCACCACAATGCGGCGATTTCTCACTACGGTCGTCCTTACGGCATGTGTATCGCGCGCAAACGCGTTCTCGCCGCGTAAATCATACGTTGTGTCACACGAGGGAGACGTTGACGAAATGTGTGACGCACTCGAGGGCAATCCGCAACCGTCTAAAATTCTCAGCAAGTGCCATCTGTGGAAGCTGCGTATTAAGTGCAAGAATAGGATGAGCTTGGCGAAAGCGTTTTCGCTGCACCTTAATTCGTTCGAGGTAGACGCGTTGCGCTCGTGCGTTCCCACCCTCGAGTTCATTGAGGACGGCTTTGACGCCGTGTCCCGTTCAGGCGTTTCCCGAAGCTGGGGTGTCGACAGAATGAACCAGCGCATGCTACCCCTGGACTCCGTCGTTCTCGAGAGAGACCACGAAGGCTTCGGCTCGATCGTTCACGTCTTCATCCTCGACACCGGCGTTCGTCGCACACACGTCGAGTTTCGGGACCAACTCTTTGGAGCTGGAAGTGACTTTGTCGATGAAGACGACATCCCGGACGACTGCGACGGGCACGGAACGCACGTCGCAAGCACCGTGGCGCAGGTCGCGTTCGCCCGTAAAACGATTTTACATCCCATTCGCGTGCTCGACTGTTACGGGAATGGTGATTTGACGAGCTTGCTCAGAGGTCTCGAGTTGGTCGTCGAAATAATGTCGAAGCTTGAGGCGACGGCGCCCGCAGTGGTGTCTCTCGCACTCGGCGTCAAAGCCGGCGTTTGGTCCGGCGCGCTGGAGCGCATCGTTCGAGAGCTCACCGATCGCGGCGTTCTCGTCGTCACGGCGAGTGGGAACCAGAACACGGACGCATGTACCATCTCTCCAGGGAACGTGGAAGATTCATTGACCGTCAGCGCGGTTGATGAGCGTGATGCGCGGTACGGTTCCGGAAACACCGGTCCGTGCGTCGATCTTTTCGCTCCTGGTGTAAACATACTCGGGGCAGAACATGAGAGCGACACAGCGTATGCGTTCCAAAGCGGGACGTCGATGGCGGTGTCGCATGCCGTTGGTGCGGCAACCAGAATTCTAAGTTTGGCGCCGGACATGCCGCCTCGCACGACCAAGCGCCATCTCATAGCCACCGCCACGCGCGACGTCGTTCGCGGCTCGCTCCTACCGAACACCCCGAACGCGCTACTATACATCAAGTAAAGATAAATCACAGCCTCTCCGCTACGAAGCGAACGGTGTCGATGGGTACCGCGAAGTTCACTCCATTCGGCTCGCGTCCTTGCGATCCCGGGACAACGCACAACCCGATCACCCGTCCCTCGCCATCGCACAGAGCCCCTCCGCTCGAACTCTCCGAAACCGTTGCGTCTGTCTGAATTAACCCCTTCATCATCAGCCCACCAACCACCGGAATCTTCCGATTTAATCCGCTCACGATTCCGCTCGCAAGGCTCGGCTCTCCATCTGGCCCGCACGCACACGCGAAACACGCGCGTCCAACCACCACGTCCCCGCTCGTCCCGATCGCCGCCGCTCGCGGTTTCCCAGCGTCACGCATCTTTAACAATCCAATCGGCACTCTGACGAACGCCACGCCCGCGTTCGCGTCGCTCACGTATTCGCATGTCGAGTCCATGACAGCTGAACCGCCGTTCGCGAACGCGATCGTTGATAACGATTTCAACGTTCCCTTCGACGCGCCAGAACTCGAGGTGGCGATCCAACAGTCGTTGGCGTCGACGTACCACACGAAACCGGACCGCTTTACGAGCGCGTCGTCGTTGAAGGAGAGAGAGACCAAGGAGTCCGAAATTCTTTCAAAACATCTCTGAGCTTGTCTTTCATCGACGAGCGACGCGCTCGCGGGTTTGACGGCAAACGGGGCGGCGATCGCGACTTTAATTGCGTCTCGTCGCGTGATTGTGGGCGAGACCGATGTGCGATGCGCGAGGGCGAAGGGCATCGGAGTCACGTTGTGAAGCTTCAGGACGCTTCGGCGAACATGTCACCTTTTACAATGACGTTCGTGATCGCTACGCTCACGCGTCTTCCCCCCACGGGTCTTCGTCTAGTTTTTCGTCGAATAAACTCTCGGCAGACTCTTTGGATTTGGACGATCGGCGCTTCGGCGGTGTCGGTTTGGGTGAGTCGCGCCCATCGTACGTCGGTGGCGACGTTTCCTTGGGCGTGTTCTGGATGTCTTCAGCCACGGTGACCGACGGCGATTCATCGTGGTCGGCGGAACGCTCGAGCATGGTGTTCCAATTATGTGTGACGTGCTTCGTGCGCGAAGCCTGCTCCGGCGTGAGCTTGCCAGCGGACATGAGAGCCATGCGCGCGGCGGCGAATGCGGATTCACTCGCGATTTGTTCCGGCTCTTGATTTTCTTCCTCGATCGTCGACGGATCTTCCAGGTTCCCGTGTGGATAACGCACGTAATCGATGTCGCTCGGATCGATTTCACTGCGCATCGACACCTGACGGCGAAGCATGTCGTACTTGTCTGCAGGAGACGGCTCGTCGCGATGACTCATCGATCTGCTCAACGATCTTTGTAACTCTGGCGTCACCTCCACCGGCGTTCCCATCTCTTCGTCGACGCATTCGGTCGATGCGTCGACGTCGGTGTATCGAGGCGACGGCGAAGGGAACAAATTCTGTCCTGGCTCTGCATCTCTCGTCATCTCTGGCACAGGCGTCATCGGAGTCAACGGCGACTCCTGAGAGGAGTACCGCGATGTTCCAGCCGCCGCGGCGACGGCGGCGATGTCCTTCGTCGTCACTCTATCCACCTTCCGCGGGCTCATGAATAATCGACTCACCGTGCGTTGATCGAGCGGCGTGACGAGCGGCGGCACGCAGCCACACAGCTTTGGGCACCTCGCTCGCCAACAGCAGTTCATTGTCTCTTGTGGCGTCTTCACCTCAGGTATTCGCGTGACGAGGAACGCGGCCAGAGACCATCGCACCGAGAGCGACATTGGACTAATAACGATCAAGTTAAATCCCTGATACAGACCGAAGACGTATATGTACGCCATGAAGGTGTTCACAGAGTCGCCGCATCCGTCTGCGGGATTTGACAAGTGCGTCCAGAGCGCGCTCACAAGAAGATTTGTGCAAGAAAACATGAAGCAAACCATCACGAATCTGTTCTGAAGCGCGTTAAACGCGCGCGTCGCCTTTATTCCCATCTCGATGAGCTGCTCCTCGTTCTCCAAATCCATTAACTCTCCGTTCTCCGCGCACTCAAATCCCACGTTCTCCGCGGCTTCGAAACTCGCCTTGGTCGCCCCCAGCGCCGCCAATCTCAGCGCGATCCCGAGCACGATGTCGTACGTCATCAACAACGCAAACACCCATATTTGCTTCGTCCAGAAGCCGCCGCTCACCTTCGCAGTCGTGAGATCCGTCAACACCATCGACACCGCCGCCGTGCTCGCGAGCTCCGTCAGCAAGTGCGCGAACCGACACTTCTTCGTGGTAAACTTCGAATCCCCCGCGAAAACGTTCAGGATCTCGTGACGTTCCCTCAAAAAGTCGATCCACGGCGCGAGCCTCCCGGTGCGCCAATCGAATACGCCGTATCCCAAGATGCGCGCCCAGCAGCACCACGGCACCGTCAGCAGCGGTCGTCTCCTAGGGAACACTCTCTCGGGCGGCGGCCACGTTCGCACGGTGTAAATCAACAGCGCGACCGCCAACATTAAGTTCACGAACCACGCCGCGATGCGCGTGGAGACTCCATCGTGCGTCGCGCCCGAGTCCCCGGTGTGCTCGGCGTCGTCCCAACAATGGTCGAGCAGCGCTCGTCCGCCTCTTCGCACGACGCGAAGCGCAACGTGACGGCCGACGGCGTCCATACCGCGCGATATGGATGATCGATCGCCTGCGAGGCGAGTTCGAACGCCTTACGGCGTCAGTGTGTGCGCGTGTGCTATGAAAGCGTTTGAATTCGGTTGAAACCTCACTTAGAGCGTCGCCGCAGGAGCCTGGCGAGGAATCTCGATCCCGGTTTCTCGATTGCGTGGTGCACCACGAAGCTGAGAATGGTGAGAAAAAATAAAAAGCCGATGACGACGACGTTGGGGTGCGACGTGCTCGCGTCGAAGTTGTGGAAGCAGTCGGCCCAGACCTTGACGTCGGGCGACGAGCGGTCGCACTCGGGAAATACGCGCCAGGTGTCGTACTCCAGAGCGGCCCAGGAGGTGAAGAGGGGGAACTGGAGAAGGTACATGGCGAAAGACCACGAGCCTATGGACTGCATCACCGGGTTTCTAAGGAAGGTAACGGTGAAGGACTTTCGAGTGACGGTGAGACCGTAGAGCCAAAATGCGCATGGAGCGGTGAGGAAGAACTCGTTGAAGATGCGGATGTTCTTGGAATCAGCGACGAGACCGGAGGCGGTGATGCAGGCTATGAGCCAAAGACTGAAGGCGAAGCTGAAACAATCGGTGAACCTGGCCCAGACCCGCTCGGTGTTCGGCGTGACGCCGCGACGCGCCAAACGCAGACGCATTGCGCCAAGCAACATACCCATGAAAAATATGGGAAGTCGTACGGGAAACCACGCTCGGCCGCAAAAGTACGCACGCATGCCATCTAAATCGTTATCAAGCGCGGTGACGACGACGTGCGCTCGAGAATCCATGTCGGCATCTCGCCACATGTTGCGAAACGCGGGCGAATTCATCGCTCCCATCAGACTCAACGGCGCCATGTAAGAAGCGTGGTAGGCGTACCACAAATACTTTCGGCAAGACTTTTGGATGGCATCGAATCGGTCGACGTCGCTAACTCTATTCTCGGGATCTTCTTGGAAATCAGACGATACTTTCTCATCAACTTTTGACATCAGTATATTGAGTTTGCGTGTCATCCACGGGAAACAAAAGTAATACCCGAGCTGACAACTCAGGCTCCAGCACACGGAATTCCAGTAGCACAGTGAGAACACCCACGACTGCATCAGAAAGGGAGTGAGAGCGATTCCCATGATGAGGTTGATCTCGCCGCTCTTGTTTTGCCAAAAGTTGTAATCGTTCACTATCGTTCTGTAATTAAGCGCGATGAAAGGTGCGTACCACGCGAGCGCAAACCAGTGCAACGGAAGCATGCGGATGTATCGTGTTTTGATGAAATCCCAGTACTGGAACCGAGCCGACTGTACCTTTTCGTGGTAAGCAATGTACATGACGAACCCGGTGATCAGAAAAAAGATGCTCACGGCAATACCACCCTGAAAGTCCAAGTATGGATTCGAGTTATTTCCGAAGAAAAGCAACCAGTGTCCGCACGCTATCTGAAGAGCCGTGATGGCGCGTAGACCGGTGATGGCGCTCGTATCAATCTCATCTACGGGTGTCACGCGCTCACCGAAGGCAGGTTCATCGGTTGCGGCCGAGTCTGGGCTCTGGTCAGTCATCTCATTTGCGCTCGGTTGACTCACTTTATCCTCCTCCTCAGCGCTCTCCCTGTCCTGATCATTTCGATCGTCGACAATGTCGACATCGCGCTGGAACGGAGCGGTCATGCAGCGAAGCATGATTCGCGTCTACAACCCTCGCCCGACGCGCGCGTCTGTCGTGAGTCTGCGACTCGAGGCTTGGTTGTCATCTGTAAATAGCGCATTGTCAACAACCGCGAGCGGATTTAACACAGCCTCAAATGGAGTCCTCGTTGGAGTACATTCGGACGTCAGAGCCGTGCGCGGTACTCGTCCATGATATTCGTATGATGACTCCATCGGCGCGTGATCTTGCGAATCGCGGCCGTATCTGGAGGTTTTCTTCGCCCACTGAGAGCGCACGTAAAGCACTCCGGCGGTGAGCGCGCCGACTACAGCAAGCGCCACCGAACCAGCAATACCAGGGGAAACGCCGAGCCACTTACGAGTGCGCGCGACGACATCATCTGTATCGCTATCATCATGTGAATCTGGCGCAGCAGACGGAGATGGAGGAGCCGCCGGTGCGCACACACCAAGTGCCATGAGCTTTCGACCCATCGGTGCCGGCGGCGCAGGCGGCCCGCGAATACCATCTCGTGACGGGCTGGACGTCGACAGCAGCGGACTTGGTGGTGGCGGGCTCCGTGGTGGCAGGCTCGGCGTTGGGCTCGGCGGCGGCGGACTCGGTGGTGGCGGGCTCGGCGTTCGGCTCGGCGGTGGCGGGCTCGGTGGCGGCGGG